TATTATTAATAACTCGTTAACCCTTAGGGCTTCCTTAATACCTAGAAGTTATTTAATTCTATAAGTATTATACTAAACGACCCTAAGCTATAAAAAGACTACTTTAATAAATACTATATTAATAATATTAACTTATAAAAAATAAATAAATATATTATAATAAGTATCGCCCTTATTAATACCTTTTTAATATAATAAAGTAATATAAATAAGCTTAGATTTAATAATATAATTAAGAGCTTAAAAAGAGTATAAGCGAGCGTATTAAATAAGAATATTAATAAAAAGAGGTTATTATTAAATAAAATAAAAAGAGAAAGTAAGGGGTAGTATTCGGCTATTAAAAAAGTAATTAATATATTACGGCGGGGTCGTTAATATTTTAAGTTTAGTTAGTATTAATAGCTATGGCTAGCTATTATTAATTATAAAGTTTATTATATAATAAAAACTTAGTATTAACCCTAGTAGACTACCTTGCCCGTGAGGGTAAAGTTAGCCCCTAATAAGGCGGACCGGACCCCAAAGGGTTTAAAGCTATTATATTATATAAGCTAGGTACTAATTAAGGTAATAATTATATTAATATACCTTTTTTTAATTTTTAAGTTAATAATATTTAATCCGTATTTTTTTAAATAATTATATTATAGTTCGGGGTCTTTTAGTATAATACTTATAAAATTAAACTTTTAGTTATTAAAGAAGTCCTAGGGGTCGATAATAACTAAGTATCTCGGTATTTTAATAGTATATATTTAAAAATAAATAGACGATTTAATAATAATAATAATAATAGAGTAATAGTAATAAATAATAAGGGAAGTAGCGTTTTTTAACTTTAATAAAAAAAATAAAGTAATAAATATATATATATATACGAGTTAAAGTTAAGAGTATTAAGGTAAATATTATAAAGTTAATATTATTTTTAATAACGGTAACGAGGGCATTTCTAATACTACTATTATAAGTTATAATTACTTAAAAAAATAAGGAACTTAGCTAAGTATATAGTAGGTTTATAAAGTAGTAGTATTACGTACTTAATATTATTATTAATCCGTAATTATAAACTTTATAAGAGGGAAAGTTTAAAAAAGTAAAAAATCTAAAAAAAAATAGTTTAATAAGATAGTAGGAGTATTTATTAATACTATATATTAATACTATATAATTAATATTAAGAATTGCCCGAGTAGCTAGTAAAGGTAAAAATAAAAAAATAAATATAAAGGAAAACTAGGTATAATATGCTCTATACCTAATTACTAACTAAAATAGTAGTTAACTAACTCGATTATTATCTCCCTTTTATTAATAGCTCTTAACTTTTTATTATTTTTAACTACTTATAGAGCGAGCTTTATTTATTTTAACGTATATAAGACCTCTTAATACTAACTTATATAAATAACTAAGTTTAATATAATTTATTCTTTTATATAAATATTATCGTTACTTAGGGGGTTTTATAAAAGCTATTTAAAGCGCTAGCTTATTATTTTAACCCTATATACTTCTAGCCCGTTTATTATAATTATTATAACTAGGCTAATATTAATATATTAAATTTTAATATCTATATTAGCCTAGTTATTTATAGTATTTATAATATTACTTAGCTAAATTTTATATTATTAAAAAGTACTTTACTAATCTTTAGGCGTATTTATATTAGCTATAATAGCTATAATATTAAATTAGCTAAGGGTACTTAGCTTAAGAGGGGCAGACTTATTAACGGGCATTTTTAATAAACTATTTAAGTAGTAGTTTATATATTAATAAGTTTATTTAATAAATTTGTTTAGTAGATTTATTTAGTAGATTTATTTAGTAAATTTATTTAGTAAATTTGTTTAGTTTAACTAGAGAGTAGCTTTAGATAATATTAAAAACAATAAGGATAAAAAAATTCTTTATAAGCTCTAATATAATAAAAAAGTAGTAAATATTAGCTTATTTAGCCCTTTTTTTTTAAAAAACCTCTATGTTATTATTAAAATTTAGAACCTCTATAGTTAAGGGCCGCTTTTAACTATTATAACTAACTATTATAGCTAATTATTACGGCCGACCTTTACTATTAACCATTTTAACTAGCGCTATTACGTAAGTATATTACTTAGCCTATTATTAATAAGTAACTAAAGAGGATAGCTTACTTATTTTAAATTAAATAGTAGTTTTTATATTGAAATTATTATATTACGTTAAGTATGTACTTAAGATATATAGTGGTTTTTTTCTAGCTTTATAAGCGTAAAAGATCGACCTTAACGGGATTACGCTTTTAAAAAAAATTATATAATACAATATATTTTTTAACTACATAATACGCATAATATACCCTAAGTACGTACTTAATATAATATAATAATTTTAATATAAAAACCGTTATATAATTTAGGATAAGTAAGCTACTTTTTATATAATAGTACTAATTAAAAAGGTTAATAATAGAGGTTAGCTATAATAATTAGCTATAATAATTAGCTATAATAATTAAAGGCGGCCTTTTTTAACTATAGAAGTTCTAAACTTTAATAGTAACGTAGAGGTTTTTTAAAAAAAGGGCTAAATAAGCTAATATTTATTACTCTTTTACTATACTAGAGCTCGTAAAGATTCTTTTTATCCTTACTTTTAATATTACCTAAAGCTACTCTCTATTTAAACTAAATAAATTTACTAAATAAATTTACTAAATAAACTTATTAATATATAAACTATTACTCTACTCTTAGTACATAATTAATAATTAATAAGTTAGAACTAAAGATGCCCGTTAATAAGTCTGCCCCTCTCGGGCTAAGTACCCTTAATTAGCTCGACGCTATAGCTATCGTAATTAATATAAATATACCTAAGGATTAGTAAAATACTTTTTAATAATACGGAATTTAGCTAAGTAATAGTATAAATACTATAAATAACCGGGCTAATATAGATATTAAAATCTAATATATTAATATTAGCTTAGTTATAATAGTTATAATAAATAGGCTAGAAGTATATAGGGTTAAAATAATAAGCTAGTACTTTAAATAGCTCTTATAAAACCCCTTAAATAATAATAATACTTATATAAAAAAATAGATTATACTAAACTTAGTTACTTACGTAGGCTAATATTAAGAGGTTTTATATATATTAAAATAAGTAAAGCTCGTCCTATAAGTAGGTAGCGGAAAGTTAAGAGTTATTAATAAAAAAAAGATAATAATTAAGTTAGTTAATTACTATTTTAATTAGTAATTAGGTATAGAGCGTATTATACTTAGTTTTTTTTAATACGTAATATATAATACGGCCCTGGCGGATTGCTCCGTCGGGGGGATATATTAATATTATATAATTAATATTAACCCTTTGGGGTCCGGTCCGCCTCATTAGGGGCCATCTTCGCCTTTACGGGTAAGCTAGTCTATTAGAGTTAATATCGAGTATCTTTATTACGTAATAAACTTTATAACTAATAATAGCCGGCCGTAGCCGTTACTAAATACTAACGATCCCGCTATAATATATTAATTACCCTCCGAATAGCTAAAAACTACCCCTTACTTTTTACCTTATTTAATAACTTTAAAATATCCTTTTTAATCTTTCTTAACCTACTCCTACGCTACGTTTTTAGAGTATTAATAGTACTCTAGAGTTAGTTAGGTATTTCGAGGCTACTATATTATATAAATTAGGCGCTTATTAAGGTAATAACTATATCGATATATATTTTTCCGATCTTTAAGTTAATAATATTTAATTTATATTCCTTAAAACGGCCGTACTATAATCCGGGGTCCTTTAGTATAATATTTATAGGATCGAACTTCTAGCTATTAAGGAAGCCCTAGGGGTCGATAATAACTACGCATCTTAGTATTTTAATAATATATATTTAAGAGTAGGTAGACGATTCGATAGTAATAGTAATAGGGTAATAGTAATAGGGCGATAGTAATAGACGGCGAGAGAAGCGTTTTTTAACTTTAATAAAGGAAATAAAGTAACGAATATATATATGTATAAGTAAAGTTAAAAGTGCTAGGGTAAATATTAGGTCAGTATTATTCTTAACGACGGCAACGAGGGCATCTCTAATGCTACTATTATAAGCTACTATTACCTAGAAGGGTAGCTAACTTAGCTAAGTACGCGGGCTTATAAAGTAGTAGCGCTTATTATTACCGTTAATAATCCGTAATTATAAACTTTATAAGAGGGAAAGTTAAAAAGTTAAAAAATTTAAAAAAAATAGTCTAACGAAATAGTGTAAGTATTTACTAATACCGTATATTAATATTATATAAATAATATTAAGAATTGCCCGAGTAGCTAGCAAAGGTAGAAATAAAAAAAAAAAACAAATAATTAATATTAAAAACTGCTTAAGTAATTAATAAAGGTAAAATAAAAAAATAAATATTATATAATTTTTTTTAAAATTATAATCCCGTTAAAGTCGATTTTTTGTACTTATAAAGCCGGAAAAAAACTATTATATATACTAATACTATATAATTAATATTAAGAACTACCTAAGTAACTAGTAAGAATAGAAAACATAAATAAATACTATCCTATACTTAGTAGAATATTTTAAACCATTTATCGTCTTAAGGTATTTATTAAGTACTTCGTAGAGTCGCTCCTATAGTCTATTGCCCCTGGTTATTGCTCGAAAGGAACTAGAGACCTATATTTAACTCCTTCTAGCTCCTCCTAGGTCCTGATCACGGAATTTGATAAGTGCTTATTGAGTCTTACGCTTATTAACCGGCTTGATGCTACACTGGCAAACGTGCGGCACATATACCCTTTGCTAAATATTTCACTGATATCTGAATGTGCCGGTTTACGATAGAAGTTGATTTATTTGAGTAAAAGACGAGAAATAGCTCGTCTAGGGTATATAGTAACTCATAAGGCTTCAAATGCATTTCAAATCAAGATCGACCACCACACTGGCCCCACGTCGGGCTGCCCTATTGTGATTATCGCTCCATACGCTCGTCATGGATGAGTGATACGTTATACCGCTCTTCGCCACTCCATACCTTGCCCACCGAGTTGCACTGGGCCACCGCCTGTCGCATGTCGGACATCAGTCCGCCAGGGCCACTTGCAAACACCGCCGTTCGCCCATCGACAGTGGCGTCGACAAATTCTCGGACAACTGTCGCCAGTTCGGGATGGCGGTGGGTGTTGTTGACGCCGACCTGGTCTATCGCCCGAGCTGACACCTGCACTTGCTTCTCACCCGAACTATTACCAGCATCAGACGAAGATTCCGACTCCGAGATGTCCCCGGAATCTCCGGAGCGAGAGGAGGCATTGCCGGAGTCGCGTGTGGCAAAGATGCGAACCACCACCTTCGGGCCTTGCTCAGCTTCCAAAGCATCAAGCTCGGGTTGCACCCAAGCTACGTCGTTTGTATGTCTCACAACCCAGACCAATTCGAGCTTTCGAGATGCCCCAGAGTGCTTCTTCAGACTCATCAAAACAGGGAGAACGTAGGTGATGCCGGTACCACCAGCAACGCACAGAATGTTGACGTCTGAGGTGACATTTCTCAGAATTGGGTCGCCGTAAGGTCCAGTCAAGATAACGGGAGTAGTTAGGCCGGCGTTAGTCTTCTCAACAGGACCGGCAGCGAGCTTGCGTGCAGCAATCTGAGCAACCTTCTTCGTCTCACCACCCTTTGCGCGGAAAATGTAGGAATGTTTCGTTTTCCCGTTCACAGTAACAGGGGCGTTGAGAGGCGTGAAGGGATGTGATTGCCAGATGCTACTCTCGCTGAAGCACAAGTAGAAGTGCTGACCAATCTTCCAGGCATCATGGGGGTGACTGAAGTCGAGTCGGACAACGTCGCCATTCTCTGAATCGGGGAATACTGTCATAGCCGCCTGCGCAGCAGAGAAGCCCATACCCTTACCCTCAATGAAGTTGTGATGCATCAGCGCAGTTCTTACACCACGGGCGAAGCGGTCCATGAACCAGATGACAAGAGCTGGAATCATGAAACACTCCAGGTTCTTCCAGTGACCAATGCAAGCACCAATGTATAACATGGCAAGCACGTAGTGCGACTTGCGGAAGAATTCGTAGCCGGTCAGACGAATGACCGGGGGCAAGCTGAGGATATATAGGGCCATGAGGAAGAACAAGGCAATGCAGCCCCATATCATGTAGAGCTGGGAGATCCATTCGTTGGCTACCGTGGGCTGAGGCTGATATAGACGGACCTCAATCACCAGCCAGCCGATGGTATGCAAACTGGACTGGACAACGATAATGTAGCCAACCCAGCGGTGAAGAAAGTTGAAGTTCTGATAGGGGATGCCGGTGAGAAGGGAGAGGATTGACTCTCGTGTCGAGAAGAGGACAGACAAAGGTGTAAGGGCGTAGGCAAGTGTTCCAATACGATCAGACCAGGGACCGAGACTGACTCTAGTATTGTAGACGCCTGGCATCTTCTTGACGGGGGTGATCCATGTGTTGTAGATGATACCAACAAAGGAGAAGATCAAGAGATAACCGGACAAAACGGCCAAGACCAGTACCTGCAGGCGGGTTGTCCTACCGAAGATGGGACGGACGCAGTCGGGGAGGAGGTATCGGTTGATTGCGGACGAGGCAGTCTGACGAAGGCGGTTGAGAAAGCTCTTGCTTGCTCTTGTATCCTCGAGGAGAGCAGCTCGGAGGACATCCTCCTCGGAGAGAGACGGCAATGACCGTCGACCAACGGCCCATAACAATAAGATGGCGCCAATAACCGCCCACAAAATACCAACGTATAGCATGCCTAAATCATGAGAGGCGTAGACAACATCCAGATAGGCGCAGGACCCGGCGTCGTTGGTACATGGAAGGGCCCGATCCACGTAGCCCCAGTGAGGCTCTATCGTGGTGGCATCGCTCAAGTTCTGGATGTGGCGGGCCGCCACTTGAGATTTGAGTTGAGAATCCATGGTGTTCTTGGAGGTGCTGTGAGAAGACCAGATGTGAGAGTTGACCGAGGGTCGGCTTGTATCTTTCGACAGCGCTCAGCGCCGTCTTGATACTTCGGTTTTCTGGGGGTAATCTACTTTGAAAGAGATGCGTGTGCGCATGTGGTCGAGATGGTGGATGTAATTATAAGTGCCGTTGTAGTGCCGGTCTCAGTACAACATCAAGGTCATGAGCTTCCCGGGAGCAAAGAATACTAGATCTTGCGATATGGACCGAGGATAATGTGAAGGACAACGTAAAAAGAAGTCGGGGGACTGTATGGTAGATGATGAGAGCAGATGTAGATAAACGGCAGCCAGCGAGGCAGAGACTCTTAAGGGGAGGATGGTGTGGCACGGAGGATGGAGTGTACCGGTAGTATCATCATTCGAGAAGAAGAAACGGGACCGGGCGGGATTTGAGAAGGTTTCCGGGACGTCTTTATGGCGGGTTATGGGGTTTGCGAAGGTGGCTAGTTAATCTAGGGGTCTTGGTAATGTTTCCAGGTTTGGGGCGGCTCCGCGATGTTTGGAGCCGGAAGGAGGGTAACGGGGCCACTGGTGTCACTCTTAAAGAGAATCCCCATATTGAAACCTGCTTATACAGTTGCTTTTTGAGCAAGTTTCTGTGTCATCAAGAATGGCTGCGCTGAGTCTGGCCAAGGCAATAATTACTCCCCAGTTCTGGAGGGCGATGGGAGGGGCTGGCCAGGTTGGAGATCTGCTATTCGCAAAAGGAACAAGGGTTCTTGGTTTGGTTTCTGGAGCACATTAGCGGGGAATGAGCCGGAACTGTGAACTTCTGGAGACCCATAGCGAAAGGACTCTTTAGAAAGTGGCAGAATGGCCATGTGGACTAGGAGAATCGAGGGATCAAATGCTCAGTGAGGTAGTATTCTATGAACAAAATGGGCAACATAAGCCGGGTGAAAGTCAGCGACAGTGCTGTGAAGATGTTGTAAAACACGGAAACTATGATCGTGTGGTAGAAGAGGAGTGAGCAAGTTGAGCATCTTTGAGCAAGTTTCTGTTAGAAAGTGGATCCGAGCCGGGGTCTCGCGTGGGAACCTAACTACGAGATCCACCGTGGCGTGTGGGGCCGGGCTGCAGGAGCGGCGCGGCTCTCGGGACCGTCAAGGTTCTTCCTGCCATGTTTCCCCTCATCCCGAACTACCACCAGTCATCTCACCAATATCTCTTGATGCTGTGAAGGATCATCTCCAGCTTGTCCAAGCCATTGCCTCTTTTGGCATCGAGTCGTTGTTCCCAGCAGGGCGGGCAAACCTCAATAAGGTATGTTCTAGGGCTGGCCCAACAGGCTGAACGCTCACCCGAGATGATTTCAGCGGAACCTGGAAAACGGGAGACCCGCCCTCGGGTCGGGTGGCTTTTGCAACGACGGTCAAGTTGACAACTGAACGCCGAAAGCGTTATGGACATAATGGGTAACACCCGAGATATCTTATTGTGCAACTCAAGAGAAAACTCAAACCATTTCACTCAAGATTCCCTTGAAGGGGTTGCGTTGATTGTCTTCAGCAAGTATCGTTGTCAAAGACATAGTATCGAGTCGCATATTACAATGGCCTGTGGATTTTAACCTGACTTGATCCGGTGGCAAAAGGATTCGAGTCATTTCCGGAAAGACACATTCCCAGTCTGTTGCTATCCAGCAGCTTTAGGTAAGGCCAGGTAAGTTGCTAATGGTGTCTATTCCTACTCTGTTTCCCTTGGCAAACACTGAGGCCAGATTAGCGTGAGCAAGATAGAGGGTCTGCTGTCGTAATTCGGATACACGCCAACTATCCAACGCCCAACCTTTCCATACCATCGTAACATCCTTTCGGTTGACTAAGGCAGCATGAGTGGAACCCTTTGAATCGTCAGCAACGGAAACAGACGCTCCTAAAGTCCTTACTCAATCCCTCCATGCTCATGTCCCATGCCGACCCCTCTTGAAACCTGCGCAGCACCACCTTTGCCGTTGACTGACCAGGATCTGCCAGCCATATCTGCGCTAACCCATAAGTAGTGACATCCCCCTCCACACACCTTCTTTGCCCTCTCTTTGCGTTATGTGTGCCATTTCCCTCTTCTCCGGGTCCCTGTCACTTCTACAATCCTGCAATCGCTGAGTGTTCGGCCCGTGCTGACCCTGTACCTGTGGGACGTTCATTCAACTCTCTCATATCCACCCAACACCCATCCAGCCTCCAGGCCTACTCCGGGTCTTCAGCCCGTATAGATATCAAGCGATTCCGGCGCGAGCGGCCTGCGGGGTGCCTGCTGAAGTTATCTCTACGTCTGCCAGCGCTCTACTTCACTCCAGCGCTCTCAACCCGAACCAGTCCTCACTACCATTCGCACCACATCGCTGCTCAATCGCCCTCGTCAACGAACGTCTCCATCGACCGCCTCAACAAATCGTATCCCATTCCGTCCAATCGTACCTGCGACGCCTCACCTATATCGACTTTGCTACTCTGAATAGCTTCATTCAACGCCAGGCTCCCCTGCTTTTGGTCGCTCAACCCTGTCTCTTCTCCCTTCGCATACAAGCTTCTGGCTTGCCAAATTAGCCCATTATGGACCACAGTTCGATGGCCAGCTCAACAGACTGCAAGATGTCGGTGTGTTACTGTCCGCGGCCTCCAAGTACATGTGCTCATCTAACATAACGACTAGATGTTGTGGAACTGGTATACCATTGACGCATGTAAGTACAATGAGAGTATCTTCTCGAGGTACAGTGCAGCATTGTGCTGTAAGCCCACACATTCGGAAAATAAGCTAACGAGCCGATGCGATAGGTTTCCTCGCGTCTTCATGGCAGATCAAGAACGCCGGCATGTTCGCCGCTAGCTGCATCGGTGTCGGTCTGCTCACCGTCTTCCTCGAAGTGTTCCGACGACTCGGAAAAGAATACGACGCCCTCATCCAGCGCCAGTTCCATGCCCGCGCCGCCGAACTACAAGCTCGTATGCCCAAGGAGACGGACTGCTGCGAACCTCCCACTGTTGTCGCCCCTCAGACGCTTGTCTTCCGTGCATCGCCACTGCAGCAGCTCATCCGATCTGTAATTCACGCCGCGACTTTTGGATTGGCATACATCGTCATGTTGCTGGCCATGTACTACAATGGCTACCTCATCATTTCCATCATAATCGGCGCTGGCTTGGGCAAATTCCTTTGCGATTGGCTTGTTATTCGTGTCACTCTGGAGGCTCTGGCACCAGCAGCTCCCAATAACATTGTTGGAATTGAGGAGCCAAGTGTCTGCTGCGGTTGAGAGAATGGTGACCTAATTGAATTAGCATTCTGATTTTACAACGAGCGTTTGGAAAAGGCGTCTCATGACGGGGCGTTGGTGGCGCACATGTCTGCTATTTGTCGCGTGAGGTTTAATATTCCTCGGTCTGGTAGCAATTTGCAAGGTGCTCAAAACCGTGCACACAATGAATCAATACCCTTTGTCTCTTGCGTTCGCTCTTCTATTCGTTCTGCTACTTCTTGGTTCATCATGGCAAATTATGAAGTTGCCTCTTCCTGCAGCTATGAATCTAGTCACTGCTCTCGTATCCGGAACCAATCTCGGCACAAGAGCAAACCTTATCCAATCCTTCATAAGGCTGAGCAATGTGATGGTTTTGCAGATCTATTTGAGATGCTCCTTGCTGCCTGTCCACAGCAGTGGTTCAGTGAGTCTGCATCTGTGATAATCGCCGACCACTGATCAACGATGGTTTCAATCTATCGCACATTTGTACGGCCTCATCGAAGACCCAAGCAGCCGCTACATCACCACCGGCATAGTCATACCATAGGCTATGTATACCTCCGAGGTCAACTCTAGGCTAGCGATCCGAAACAGCGAGCTTGATCACTGGAACCATTTCCATTATCCTTGAAGTTTGTCCATTTGGCCCACAGCAATATGTACATACGGTGGTGGTCAGGGGTTTCAGCCACATCATCAAGCTTGCTGATGTACTTCCGTTACATCGTGATCCTCACTAGTCTTTTCAATAAAATTTTCTGTGTGGTTATACCAATGCTTGAAAATAACGCACCAAAGAGTATCGTCATACTCCTCATCATTGTAGATTACCTATAATCAAATGGCGTTTATCTTAGTTGCGGGCAATACTCTATGTCATACGTCCTCTCACATCTACTGGTTTATAGAAATGGATTGGATTCTACCGACATTCTCAGCGCACACTTCAATAGCTGATAAGTCGCACAGCATTCAGCTGGGATTGGTGTGTCCAAGGCGGCTAGCGCTGCCTGGTACCTACCTCATGCGAGAGGCCGAATGGCCCGCCGGGACGCGGCCTGTGATGCAGGACGTGGGTCAAACAAACATGGACACAGAGCAACGTTCAAGACTAGGTGGTAGTCCTTCATGTCATCCTCTTTTTCTCATTATTGTCCTCCGAGACATCGTCCCCAAGCCACTGACTGCTTGTTCATCCTCATCTTCCTCACTAGTATGACAGCCCTAGTTTTCTTTTTCACTCACGCTCGTCCTTCCGTGAAGTCCATCATGATCATACAAGCCTCCAAATGCCATTTCAAAAGTAAAGTTCGCTAAGTCGAATGCAAAAGTGGGAGACTTTGCTAAGCTCCTACGTAAATGATGCCCCCAATAAACCCGGTAAAGTAGCACCCACGCTCAGGACCCTATTCACGAATGTCTCCTCGTCGTGGCACTACTACCCCGCTCATGAAAGAAATTTGGCACCCTCCTGCTTGAAGAGCCAATCACTGTTGGCATCAACCATGAAATTCGTAATGTTGAACTCGTTGCCCGGGGCTGGTGGCGCATTGGATCCGCCATTTTCACTACTAGCATCCATGCCCGACGTGGTCCCGTTCTGCCCGTTACTGCCGCTCATGCCATGCTGAATCTCGTTGCCAGCGGGTAGGCGTGGCACGTTGAAAAAGTCGAATACGTCCAGGTACTCGAGCTCATTTGGTGCTGGTGTTCTGGCTGGTGTGACGCTGGGAAGCCGGCTGTGATTTGGCATGCCGTTGGCACGGGGCTGACGGGATATTAAGAAGTCGAGGTCAAACGCTGTGCGACGCATGTCGGCTAGTATCTTAACTGAGCTGGGCGTGACACCATCCCCTTGACGCTCACTGTCGCGATGTTCATCCAGAACACGTTGCAAGAGGCCGCAGTATCGCGCAGCTACAGGCCAGTAGCGTCCCATTTCGCGTAGTGTCTCGACAAAGAATTGAATCTGAGGCGAGAGCTTGTGCTCAACGGTAGACCCATGGACTAGTAACAGACGCGAGGCTACCCATAAGGTGAATGCGAAGGGAGGGCCTAGCTTTGCCAAAAGGCCGTTATTGACGACAAATTCACCCAGCGCAGCAATGTTCTCGACTGCCCCGTGACAGCGCTGCGAGGCACTGTATGAGGGGGTGAAAATTGGCGAACGAGTTGTCGGATACGCCGCCGATGAATGCAGTCGGATCACAGCCGTGTGGTATGTTGCATGCAGCATCACCCAGCCGCAGTTCAGCGTCTTATTACCGGGCTGGAATAACTTGGCCATATTGCCATACTCCCCAGGAAGGCCGAACTTCCAGGATGTGAGCATGTTGTCGAGCTCCTTGTATCGCATCTGCCATTGCTCCACGTCGCTGAGAGCGCTTATATCGACGGGTTGTTTCAAGAACTTGTGAATCTTGGACAGTATTGCCAAGATCTCTATGTAATATGAGAAAGCACCGAGGTTCTCTGGCTTGTTGATCTCGTATTCAGGATTCGTGTCCTCAGAATGGTCCTGGGTCCTAAACCATCGGGTTTCAACTTTCTGATTCTTGATCCATAGATCATCTCGGCACGGTAAGGTCCGGTCGACTTCCTTGTCATCCAGAGCGAATTCGAAGGCAGTGGCTAGAGTAGCATACCGATCGAGAAGGTAAATCATCCAAAAGAGCCGCCGCCTAGATTCCTCCTCGATGAAGTCCTTGGGTTCCGGTAAAATCATGGCCCTCAGTGTATAAATGGAGGTAAAATTTGGCGAGACTGAAAAGGAAGTGCTCTCAACGGCCAGCCCGAGCTGAACAACTGATCTAGTAATGAGAGCCATAATGTTCCAACCAGGGGGGCCATTACTGCTGCCGACGAGATCCAGAGCAAGAATTACCAAGGCTTGAAGGGCCTTAACAGAGGAATTTTCCATGCCATAGAGCAAGACCCTCTGCTTCGATATGGAATGGTAATGCTGCCGACTTTCCTCGGTCAGTCTTGAGTCAGTAGAGTATCGGAGTGTTGTGGCAACAATGGCATGAAGCAGAATACGATCTGTCTCTTCAAGGGTGGATGGGCCAAACAAAGAATCCAGGGTCGTCTTTCGATGCAGAATAGGACACCAGGTGTTAATGTGCTTGAAGTAAAGATCGACGAGGGCATAAAGCAGGTCGTAGGGCGGCAGCTCCTGGTCTGGCGCCGTTGACGCCTGACTTTGTGCCATGGCAACATCTGGAGAATGTAATTGGGTTTGGTTTGTGCCGTAATATTCCTGTGCCGCACTGCTAGGGTGTGACATGGCAGTGATATGGCTTGGGGGTGCAGCCATGCTGGCCATGGGCATTTGACCTTGAAACTCGTGCATGGATGGGGTGGGAGGCGGCATTCCGAACTCCATAGATTGTGAAGTTGAGGGGTAAGATGATGGTTTCTGAAGGAAGAGAGCCGTTTCCGCCTGCGGCGTTCGATGGGACTCAGATGGCCTAAACAAGGCATTGGTCTCTCGTGGTGTGCCATGATCACTCGGCAGACTTGGATTGCTATTCCGAATGCTTGGGGCTACGCCGTGGTGTTGATTGGATGTCAGAGTCGCCTGGAGAATCTCAGAGTGAGTTCTGAGTATCTCCTCAAGCTTGTCTAGTCGCTGCTCCAGCTCGCGGCCGTAGCCAGCACGGAGGCCGGGCTTCTTGCGCTCCTTGTACTCGCACAAGGCTCCATTGCGGCTGCACCAGCCGCAGGAGGGCTGTCCTCGGTCACACTTCACCTACTCAGTCGAGGCGAGTCAGCCACAGATTCCAGGTTTAGAGCTAAGCAGGTCATCTGAGGCGTAAGAAGAGAAGAACAAAGAGGATATCTCTGAGAGTAGTTCGTGACTTCTCGGCTTGTGAACGAGTTACGCATGACACAGTGATAGGGTATAATGGGAAACTGAGGTTCAGGTACAAAGGAAGAGAGAGACGGAAAGGAAAAGGGACTTCGTGTAACCTTTCTCTGCTTGCATAGCTCGCATCTTGGAGTTGGATTGTTAGCTTCAGGGTTCTGCTCGGAAGGCACGGGTTCAGGCGATGGTGGTTCGAGGGACATGGGGGCAAAGCCCAAAGAGGGCAATTAAAGACAAGAAACTGGGCAAAGGGGGAGGGAGAGAGGCAGGTGGGTGAGTAAGTGGATAGAGGGAGCAAGGCACCCAAGCAGCCGGGTTTGATATGAGTTGAGATGAGTGAGGCGTGATAGGGTTGAGTGAGAGTGAGCGGCATGGCATGGGGTGAGAGGCAAGGTGGGATGAGCTAGGACGGGGAACGACATACGAGACAGATATGGGTCTCTTGCGCTTCCCAAGGCGGGTGACATCCTGATCGTCTTGGTCAAGATCGTTTTCGTCTCCGCTTTGCAGCTGGTTGCCGTCGTCAGAGTCCTGGTCCTGGCTATGAGACTGATTTTGGTCATGGCTCTGGCTACGGTTGTGCTGAATCGACTTGATGTTAGCTGCAGGCGGTGACCGGCTGCTGAGGGAGTGACCGTTGTGCTGCATCCTCGGTGTGGCAGTCTCCGAGCAATGGCTGGCGGAAGGGTAAAACAAGGCCGAGAGATGTGTATCTGAAGAGCAAGTGTGACGCAGGCACAGAGCCGAATGGTTGGGTCGGGCGGGCGCGCGCACACACACACACACACACACACGGATAGAAGGCGAACGCGTAGGCGTGCGTATGAGTTGGAGTCGCAGGCGTTTGTGCGAGATTCCAACGCGCGGATTCGGGAGAAGCTTGGGAATCTCGGGTTAATGTTGAGCAGAGGGTGGGAGAAAAAAAAAAGGGCACCGGAGGCTGGGGTCGGGAAAGAAGAGGCTCGGGGTATTTTTTTTTTGTGTTTTTTTTTCTGTCCCACACGTGCCACACTCCAGTGAGAGTCCAGAGCACCGAGAAGGACTGCACGAGGCAAAGAACGACAAGGAAGGGGGCGGGGAAGCAAGTTCGGGGGAGGGGAAGGAAGCGGAGGTGGAGAGGATGAGCTAGAAATACGTGACCGGG